CTTAGTACCATTGTGTCTACAGTCTATCAAGTACCTATGTACGTACCTTTTCTTTCTTTCTTTCTATCTACCTATCCTTCCATTAATCCATTCATCCATCCATCATCCATCTATCTATCTATCTATCTATCTATCTATCTATCTATCTATCTATCTATCTATCTATCATCTGTCATCTATCATCTATCTATGAAGCTAAGACATTAGACTATAATTATGCCTGAAATAAATCAAGGAAGGAATGTCTTAAAAATCCTGAAGTTCTGTATGAACTACCCAAAACTTCAATTAAAAATCTTCAAAAAAATATTTTTAAAGTGTTGAATGGAAAATGGAAAAAGTCCTTAACATATGAAACTACACACATAGATTCTGTGCACAACTAAACTGCCATCGCTCAATGAAGACAGACTAGAAGCCAAAACAATTTACCTCTAAAACTCTCAAAAAGTAACTTCAGGAAGAACAATGTGATGTCCAGGGGAATATATATTACACAGAGAGCACTGTTGAACTAAAAAAACCTACATTAGTAAGTAAATTGGCAAGTTTAATTCCTGAAATACCAAAATGTATAAAACTTCACAAAAATTCATCACACAGATTGATGTATAATCTTCACTTTTTGGTTGGGTCTTTATCTGGTTTGGTGTCATAGTAATGTTGGCTTCACAGGGAGAATCTGTGGGTGTTCCTTTTCTCTTTTACAGCACAATTTGAGCAGCATTGGTATTACTTCTTTTAAGTTTTGGTGTAATTCTGGGCTATAACCATCTATTCCTGGATTGTTTTTAGTTTGGTGACTTTTAAAAAATTAATGAATCTATTTCATTGAATGTTGTATGTCTGTTTAAAATATTTATATCATTATTGACTTAAATTTGGTAGGCCATATAGATTTGCAAAATTATCCATTTCTTTTAGATTCTTCAGTTCAGTGAAATACAGATTAAGTACGTCCTTTCAGTTTACTGAATTTCCTCACTGTCTCTTGTAATGTTTCCATTTTCAGCTCTGAGTTTATTGGACACAAAATATGGGAATCACAGAACAAACAAGGAGAATTTAAGCTGGTGCTTTATACCTTCGTTGGCTGGCTCTCATAGTACTAGAAGGTGCTATGCATGCTACTGACAGAGAAAGATAACCATTAACCTTGCACAGATGTGAACCCTGTCAGGTATAGAGTCAACTGGCTTGGCAAAATGTGCCTAA